CGAGTCTTCGGTGTCATGGTGAAATATTGTGCTTAATTACCTATCACATATAACTATACCTTAATGGGAGATTGTAAATTCCGCCCGAAATGAACAGGTAAAAACAAGGTCTATGGTAAATTCCGCCCGGAAAAATATCCAAGTAAAAAAGGTACATGTAAATTCCGCCCAAAAAAATATACAGGTACAAAAATAGTTCCGCCCGGAAAAATAAATATTTTTAAACTAAGCGTTCCGTGACTGTACGATTTTTTTAGGGCGGAATTCACATGTACCTTATTTTACCCGTAGTTCATTTTGGGCGGAATTTACCATTTTCGGGCGGAATTTACATGCACCCACCTTAATAGGTACCCTTTTTTCCTATCAGTGTCTTTAGTCTAATGTCTATAAAAATGACTGCTAAATGTTAAAAGTGCGCCACTCGTCTAATAAATGCTATCCACAGTAAATATTTTATCTACCATTATTATATACGTGGTTTATTAGAAACTGACTAAGCATGTAGGTATCAAAATTAAAAACCAAACAATTTGTGATGGTGAGTTGAAAGAAGTTCTGAAAAATAGTCGAAAACGTGATTGGGAAGGAAATATTTAGAAAACAATGTTTAATCGATTCATGTTTTATTACGTACCTTACCTAAAGTCTAAACAATTTAATACTTTTTACTCAAAAAACTTCTTTTAATATTTGTATTGTTATATACAAATAGAACTCTTTATAATGACAATTAAGAACAATATTTGACTTATAAGTAACAAATATTTTTAAGCATACCTCATTAGTTATTGACACTTATTATTATTATAATTATCTTTAGTAAATATCTACAAGACAACAAGGAAATTAATAAAGAAATAATTACGGTATAAGGGGCTTTGAAATGGAGTGTTTTTCATGCTAAAAAATCCCATTCAGTGTGGGGTAATGATTTATAGCAATGTAAACAAATATGTTTATTCGACTGTGAACATTTCATAAAATTATGAAATAAAACAAATCATTTTTCACTTTGGATTTCCGTCCGTCGTGTCATTCATGTGCTGCACTCTATTAATCGCCGCTGCGGCGTTGCCGCCAGATATTGACGCATAAAATATTATTATTGTTGTTGTTGTTGTTGTTGTTGTTGTCCTCGCGCCGTACGAACATCAGAAAATATAATGTTGTTCGCGGCCGGCGGCGACAAACGCGAATCACTGGACCGCGGCGGAACAAAAACGGCTAGGCGACGTGTGGTTTGTAATGGGGCGGTGTCGGAGCAGGAGAACGAACAGCGCGCCGGAGTTGCAGCGACGGTGCTCGGTACGTTGTAGCCGCCCGATGTTAGATGTTGGGGCGGGTGGGGTGGAATGCTCCGGGGGTCTTGTCGAAAACGAACACGATGGACGAGGCGGCGGAACAAAAACGGCTCGGTGACGGTGGTTTGTAGTGCGGCGGCGGTGTCGGAGCAGGAGAACGAACAGCACGCCGCGCGCCGCAGCCGCGTCGGTACTCGGTGCGTTGTAGCCGCCCGATCAACGATGTTGGTGGTGGGTGGGGTGGTGTACTCCGGGGTCTTGTAGAAATCAAACGATGTGGACGAGGGCCGCGCGCGATGTTTCACGGCCTAGGCCATGGGCCAGCGGCCTACGAATTTGGCCGTAGTCTTAGTACCTGGTCTTGCCGTCTGGTTTGCGGGCGGCCCCGGTATCGGTTGGTGGCGCCCCCTATAGTCGGCGGCCGAAAACCAAGCCAGCCGTGATCACGATTATAGCGATATAGTCCTTTATGATAAATGATAATACGATCGAGGCCCCATGATCTGATAACGATTTTAGAGAAAACTTATAAAAGTGATTACAATGTAAGTATATACTTATTTTGAAATGCTCATTCCAGGTGTTCACAAAACCCACATTTAAATATTAATTTGGGTAGGTACCTAAAGTTATCTATGTACCGATCACCGATATCATAATCCTGTAATAGTCGGCACATACGGTGCACCGTCACTGCTCATGCCCCTCGGCCATTTTATAATAATTATATCACCTTAATTCCACATACCTACAAGGTTTTTTTATTAACACTCATTTCCGAACATAAGTTTTTCATTTGTTTATTGTTTAAATACAATATATATGTTATTAAAGTTAAATAAAAATAATATTAGATAGGTTATACCGAAAACAGCGAAATTTAAACTGAATGCATCACTGACATTTATTTCACTTATTTTAAATCTAAGTAAAAATAACTATAAAAACTAATTATCTAATAAAAATAATAATAATAAAGACAATTTACAAGAAAAATCTTCGTCGTCGGTTTAAAATGAAATGTTATACCATTGTCAATTATGATGTAAATTAATTAAATATTATTAAATAAAGCTAAACATTTTACAAAATTATATCTATCAATATGGTTATTGTTATATAATTCCATTTTTTTATTTATGAATTCTTAGCTATAAAAAAAGAACATTTTATAAATATTTAACTGCAAAATAATTTGTGCAATTTGATACATTTTGTCAACATTTGAACTTAAAAATGGTTGTAAAACAAAACCGTCAACATTTATTTTTAATTTTTTTTAACTTAACTAGGTATATATTAGGAGTCTAGTAATACATTTTAAGGCTTTTTGGCCCAACAAATAAAATTTTATTGACATTTATAGAAAAAAAAAAACTAAAAAAGTTGAAAGTTAAAAATGTCCGTAAACAGCTCAAAACGAGTCAATAAATTATCAAGTATATGAATTTATAAGATGAACATTTGGTGTAAATTCCAATAATTACAGTTATTCCTTTTTGAAATCTAACAAAAAAAGAAAATCACTAGGTACATGACAAATCGAGTGAATATCCAATATTGTGAAAATTTCAACTTTAAACGCTCATAAAATTGTAATTTAACTTTTCGGCAGAAATTTTTATTTTGATAAAGGTAGAAAAACTTAGAGGATTCTAACTAGGAATCTTGTATTACATTTTAAAATCTTAGATATAAAGAGAAACTCGTTATGAATTTCTAACTCAAAATAATTTGCAAATTTTCGTAATATGTATTTACGAATTTTGTCAACATTTTAAATTCAGAAGCTCAATAAAAATTTACTGTAGATTAATAGCTTAGCTATTTTTTAAATTTCCACATACAACAACCTACAACCTGAGTTACATCAAGATCCAAAATTAATTTTGTCAAAAACCGGTTTTCCATAAAAATTCCCGTCTTTCCTTAATTTTTTGTTTGTTTTTCCTGCCGCTTTAGAAAATTATTGGGAAAATTTTGTTTTTTACCTTCCCCCCTAAGTATCAATTAGATTCACTTTACTACCAGAAAATATGCTGTAGAAGAACTTCGAAATCGAAGTACTTTTACTGCCCTAAAAGGTGATGATAGACTCAAACAAAAAACACACATCCCTGCAAAATTATACATTCATCTCTCCGCTTGGAAATATAAAATTAAAGTGAATCTCATCAATGCAGTAGAAATATAGAATAATATGTTCAATTTTTAATCGATATTGGACATTATGTAGACTTGTAGCCTTATAGGTATACTAGATCTACAACACTTCCCATTTCCCAATGTTTCACAAGAGGTAGAGAGCCCAAATCAGGACAGTATTCGCACTGCCTTATAGTATTGAAAGTCTTTATATATAATATATACATACTATACTATCCATCTAACATAACCGTCACATTATAGTACATTTTTGCGAACACTACAAGAGCGACATATTTTATTGATTGAAAAAAAATCCATAATAATAAAACGATGTATTATTGTCACATCAATGTTTAGGTTTTACATATATCGCGCTCCAGACAAATTTTGCCATTCTTAGTTTTAAATACCTAAGTGTTCGCATGTATTTATAATTAAATGATATAGAACAACTCTCAAAAATTAGATTAATAGGTGTAGATACAGATTATAGGAATAACTAGATTAGGTATTTATTACAAATAAACACAAATCATAATATTATACAATTATATTTCATTATAAACTGGGATTTTAAGACTAAGGTATAAGACGTGTTTTACAATACCACTACTTTACTACAATATACATTAAATAAACGCATTTATTACATCATTTTAATTTTAACAGGTAAATAAACATATGTCACTAGGTAGTTAATAATATATCTATCAGATTTATGGTTAAGTAGTTAACAAAGATAAATGCAAAGGTAATTTTTTATCAACATTGATTGTAATCTTGTATACACAATGATGTAGGTATAGGTACAAGTAAGGTAACTGCTGCCATCCAAGTAATTATTACATAGGATGATAATTTATTATACAATTTTTCAATAGTTTAAATAAGGATTTGTTATTCCATCCGTTAAAATACCATTTATTCCGATTGAGGACGAATGTTGAAAAATAAGTTTATATACGAGTCCAATATTTGATAATTGAAACATAGAAATGTACAAACTTAAGTAACTTAAAATCAAACACTCTGATTTTTTTTCAATAATTTAATTGAAAAATGGATTTATTTTATAAATATTAGGTACCTATGACGGATGATGATTAATGTTAGTATTGATATAATAATATTGATCATATTAAAATAGATGACATTCTAATATATGTATTATGAGCTATAAGTATAACACCCACCTCAACATTTAAAATTTCTATATACGCCACTGCATTTAATAATTATAATTAAATTTGGTTTCATAAAATGAAATACAATAACAATAGATTTTTACCAACTATAATGTGTGAAGTACGTACATCGTTATAGATTAAAAATTAAGTTTATTACCTACAAGAAAGGTAAATTTGAATTTTGATAAATACAGTTAAGATGATAGTCGACGTTTGTAGTTTTTTTAGTAGGTATAAATAATGTTAATACTTCTATACTTTTCTATTAACTAAGCAAACATTACATTCAAAAAACACACGCTAAAAATATCTTTATATTCATTTTAATTATTATAATTTAATTAAAAGTAATTTTGTTGATTTATAATTAATTAAGTAATGCATACAGATAAAACATGGTATGTTAGTAGGCATTTAAGTTTATATACGTAGTTAATATTCAGTAGCAGTTGGTATTAAATGTACTTATTTGTACCTACGTATTATTAACTAGGAACGGGTAAATATTTTCTAGGCAGCTGCCTAACTTATACTTTAAGAATTTAACTTTTAAGTTTAACTCAAAGTTAAATGAATGCAGCTATTGTTCTTTGAGTTAAACCATCAGTGTTCTAATTTAAATAATTTCGGAATAAACCAACTGCTACACGATATTTTTATTCGTAGTCATAATGTACTAGATATATAATTTATCTATAATATTATATTTTTTTATAAGCAATCTATTTTGTTCTAGCTGGATATTGCACTATTTTTTTTATGTTTTAAAAATCATTTTTTTAAAATTGTATTTGATTTTTAAAATGTATTAATATTTTATCATACAATTGTTTGTATTCATCTGTTACACTCGCATTTTTATGACAAAAATATAATATTGCCTGTATAAAAACTTTTTCCAACTCTTTTTGTGCATTTGCAGATTTCGAAACCGCTTTGCGCCAAGTTTTAGACACTTTAGTCATCGATGCAATATCTTTATAAGATAAATATGAGAATATTTTTTCAAGAAATGGCTTACAAAAATCGAATTCTGTGAAAACAGACATAAAATCAATATATTGTTGATCTTGTTTAATGAAATCAACATCAAAGTTTAATTGCGGAGTGAGTGTAAGTGATAATGGGAGCTCCGGAGTAGAGAAATTGATGTTTTCAGTTGAAAAAAATAACTCTTTATAATTTTTATAATCAAAAAAAAAGTTTGAAGGACACATTGTATCCTCGATATTCTCGTGTTTTCTGAGTGCTACTAACATATTGTTTTGAATATCACCATCAGCAGCATATACATTGGGTTCATTATTGACATCGATATTAATATCGACGAGATCGTTTTGATAATTTTCATTAACATTGACATCGTCATTGTCATTGTCATTGTCAATGTCGTGGATTTTTAATTTATCATCACTAATTTGATTAAACAATTTACCAACAATTTTTTTCATAGACAATTGAAGTGGATCAAGTTCAGAATCCGGGTCGTCGAAGGAGTAAAATACTTCTGAGATTATTTCGGGACTAGGTAAAATGGTACAGGTTGCACCCGAAATATCTTCGCCATTTTTATCAGCCATGTTGTTGGAAGGTGTTGTGGTTTCTGCAGAAGTATTATTAGTGTTATCACACGAATATTTTTCACTCGATTTATCGGCCATCGTTCTGGTTTTCTGAACCTGATATAATACAATACGAATAGAATATAGTCTTAGTTCAAACTATATGAGTATTTGCCTTTCAAGAATCATTATATATGGTACACGATATTAGACTCCTCTGCAATTTAATTACATAATTTATACAATATAACAATTAGGTATATGAATTTTACTTATCAGTTTTGTATATTATTCACTTATAATTTGATTAAAGAAATAAAAATATTTTTATTAATTTATAGATAAATGGATATTAAATTTAGTCGAAATTAACTCTCAAAAATATTACTATAATTCATTTTTATTAAAGGTGATTTTATTCCTTAGCACCTCTTCATTACTTAAAATTCATAAAAAAACGATTTGAGTGGGTTTTACCTACATTTTTCGAGAGTCAGAGAGAGAAATCAAATACAACGCGCTTACATTTTTCAATATTTTATGAAATCGTATGCAATTTAATTGGAAAAGAGTCTATCATACTTAGGTATACTGATAAATATACATTTTTTTTACAATTCAATAATTTTTTAACTATAATAAATATATATAGCAGTGGCCAAATCATAAACAAGCAAAAATAGAGTCTAACATAGGCGCAACTAGTGTTTACAATTTGAGGAGGATAAAATAACTCAACACAAAATTTTGAGATTTATTATTGTTCATCTCGAAGGGTTGAGCTTAGTTGTGCCTATGGAAGCTAACAATAATATGCATTTTTACCCGAATTATAATATTTCTATCAGTATAAGACGGAGGCACTGATATAAGAACACAAGTAAACAACAGTTGAATAGCAGTTTGTACCTGTATTATTTGTCATTTACGAATGTCAAGTCCCTTCAATGCCCAACCGTATGATCTGATACACAATATTTTGAAAATAATTTGCGAAAAATTGAAAACTAGGTATTAGAATTTAAACATTTTTATTTTCTTAAAATATCGTATTTCCTTTATTTCGCTCAACAAAAACGTACTATTCAAAATAATATAATATTGAGTGTACGAACAACGACTTAAAACATATTAGAGGTGCTGTTGCTTATCGAGTGGCGACACATAAAATAACGCTGAGGCGCTACAGCTAGTATCAAGGCGGGCGCCGCCCTATTATTGATCGTTCTCGATGAACCTTGGAATGACACAGGCGCATGGCAGCAGATCCATGTATTCTGTTTGTAAGGAGAGAAAAACAAAAAAATAAAATCATACCCATTAAAATAGTACAATTTACCACTGTGATAAATGCATTATAACATATTTGGTCATTTATCATTTACTTTGTATGAAGTTTATCGTTATTGGGCTCTATAATAATTTCACATTCATTATTTCACATTTGGTAATCCAGAAATCAGTCAAAGCTCCGAAAACAATAAGGTTATGTATAGAATCACATATAGGTAACATACACTATAATATTCTTAAGGTTTTGAGTGAAATCAGGCATGTATTAAAAATTGATGTTATGTGTTTTCGTTAAAATGTCTGATTCACGGTTACTTTATTATGGCAATATGGAGTATAAATCAACGCATAAATATATTTTATATGCACAGAAAATACGAGTATTATAAATATTAAATTGTTTTTTACCATTTAAATAGATACCTATATGCTCACAAAGAAGTTTAAAAGTTGATATTTTAACTTTAAAATAAAACTCCACACAGATTTTGAATACAATTAGAATTTAAATATTTAAAATTAATAGTTGATAGTTGATGCAATAATATTGAATATATTATTTTTTTATGTTGTAACTAAAACATTGGTACATGATTACTTAATATTTGAATAAATAAATTTAATTGTGGTGATAAATTTTATTATATTGTACTGAAGGGTATTTCAGTATCTATTACATGGTCTGAGATTGGGTGTACCTAATTTCAACATTTTCCGCTTCTGGCAGTACTTAAATGATCATTGTCAAGCTACAAAGTTATTCATTATTCTGCTTATTTGTGTAAAGTATCAATATTTTGCCAACTACCTATATTTAATTAAGTAACCTATTTATCCGATAATATTTTTGAAAATGTATTTGAATTTGTCATGAAATTTACTTAAATATGACATTATTGCATTTTTTAAACATTTATTTGGTGGAAAAGTGTAAGTACCATTCTGCTGTACGGTAGTTTTCGAGTATATAATTTTAATGTGTTAAATTTGAATTTAAAGATAACTCATTATATACGAAAAACGGTTCTGAGCAGAGACTGTGTGTCAGCTACTCAGCTTACTGCTAAGTATGTTATAATGAATAATCAAATTTAATAATTAATATTAATAATAAAAATCAAAAATTTTTGTATGAATAAAAAATAGTTCAAAAACAGTCAAATTATTAAAAAATTTTTATCATACATGAAAATAATCACATTGACATTTTGTGAAAATTTAAAATAGATATCAATGGTTATTAGTTTTTGAGTTACAACAAAGAAATTAAAATCAATTTTGTCGAATTCGCTCTAGATTTTGTTGTTGTTTATAATATTTTGTCCTTGTTTATAGGCTTAAAATATCTATAATAAAATTGTGTTTATACTTGTATTACATTTTTTAGTAACAATATAAAATACATCTGAGAAACTTTGTTATTTTTTACCTATAGAAATTAAGCATTTTATGAACTATTAACTACAAAATGATTTTCAAATTTTCAAGATTTTGATTAGTCAAAATTTAAATTTTAAATGCTTATTAAAAAAAATCATGCATATATATCTTAAATATTTTTCAATAGCTAATATATTAATTGATAACTAATAAGGAACATAGTATTACATATTTAAGTTTTTCGACAGAACGCAAAAAATATTTCGACACAAATAAAAAAAATATTGACAAAATTAATGATTGAAATAAATGTTTGTATAAATAGCTCAAAAGGAGTCGAAATATTTTGAAAATTGTATGATTTATAGAAAATGTTTAAATAAACATTCTGTAAAAATGTCATGCATTCATCGATATGATCATTTTTTTTCCAACACAACCAAATTAATTTTGTCAAAAACTTTTGCGTAAAAATGTCCATTTTTCCTTAATTTGTTTTTGTTTTTTTCTGACGTGATTGACTTTTGAAGATTTTTCATTTTAAACACTCAAGAGTACCAATTAAATTTACTTTCCTTCCAGAAAAGAGATTGAGATTTAAAACTGAAGCACTATTTCGATTAACACAATAAAAAAACACACATCAACACATCATTGTAAAATCAAATATGTACTAATAAACATTTATCAATTCCGTTCAAAATCTAAAAGATTAGAGTAAAACCATTACGTACAATTTTGATGAGCGTTTGAAGTTTAAAATTGTACTGCATTAGAATTAAAAGTATTACATTTCTCCTCAAAGATTAATATATTCTGATGTAAAATATAAATCGTGAAAAGCTTATACTTTATCCACTACGGTCTACAGCACTACATAGTACTAATGGGCCGTAGTTGGAACATATTTCCGTTGTGTGGGGGGATTTCCACAAAACAAATAGTGATGCCACTCTTAAAGCACAAAACAACTAAAGATTTTAACGTGAAGCCAAATAAACTTATACTACAAGAACTACATGACTGCCCGAAATAGTAAAATCAGAGCATTTAAATCATTTGGATGCAGGTAATTCATGGAAAGTATATACCCATGAAGCTTGACGCAAAATATTAGGAGCCTTATTGTATTAATTTTTCAAGGTTTTTGATACATAAAATAAAAGTTTATTAAAATTTAAAGAAAAAAACCTAAAAAATTAAAAAATTGAATATGTCAAATACAAGTCAAAATATTTTGAAAGTTTTATAATAAAAAGATAAAATAAACACATACTGCTAACTTTATGGATCTTCGGTTATTTGTTTTTGAACTAAAACTAATTACGAAAATTGCACCATGAGAAATCGAATGAATATTCTGTTGTAAAAATTTGAACTTCAAATGCTTAAAAAAATGTAATTTGACTTTCCGTTAGACATTTTGTTTTGTTTTATTAAGGTAGACAAATTTATGAGAAATGTTGTATTAAATTTTAAAATTTTAGGTATAAAAAAAATTTTTTTATGAATTTTTAACTCGAAATAATTTGTAAGTTTTCACGATTTATTCGAATCTTGTCAATATTCTAATATAGCATTAAAATATTAAGTGTTATTTTTCTTGGTGGGTCTAAACGGTCAACGGGCGCAACCTAAATCCCTACACAATTTAATTTTTTTTTGTGTAAGTTCCGGCAGGAAAAAAACGGAAGATTTACGTAAACTTCGCCAATGAAAATAATGAGGTAAATCGGAGAACTAGTTACTGCACATGACCTGCTGAAAATGTGACAGTATTCTCTAGATCCCTTCTCGATACACCATTTCTAATCTGAAATGTAATTATTAGGTAATTAAGAAAAAAAATTAATTTAATTATCCTTAGATTTCTTCAAATTTAACGAAATACTAGTTTTCAATGACAATCAGTTTCTCTGCTGTAAGCAAAGTTACTGGTAAGTGATAACTGGTAAGTATGAAATTAATTATTTCAATATTTAATATCTAAGTTAGCAAAACATACCTACAATACAAATAACATAAATAGAGACGAAAATTAAATATTCTAGTTGAAAATCAAATTTTATAACCACGCAATTATTTACCCATTAGTTGTTTTCGCACGGCACACCGATACGTTTTCAATTATCAATATCTATTAATTTATATCAATATTGTATCGCGTATCAACTATCAAATAACAGATAATTCAATATAAACACGAAAATCAAACAAACAGCAATTGGAGGCCAAGATAACCTAAGGGATGTGATAGGTCAGGATTATTTTAAGGAGTACAAGGCTATACAGGGTACTGAGAAAATATGAATTATAATGTTGTAATAATATGTATAACGTAATAAGTACATTTTTAACTATGTACAATTTAACAGTATAGAGGAAACCCACATTAAGCGTCTGTATCAGTATCGGTATCACACCGATGCAGTATTACCACGGTTGTAGAAATACAATTTGCACAACTGTATTAAATCAGTGGACCCTCCAATGATTGCATTTTTATCAAATAATAAAAAGAATATAATAGAACGAAAGACTCGTGGCGCTCCTTGTGAGAAATGTTTGAAGCATTAACTTCAGCAACATGATGTTCGACCCTTGTACACCGGTATTTAGGAAACGTTTACTGCTATATAGGCGGCGTACGCTGTGCGGGGTCGGCTTGTTTACCATTCTCTATTTCACGTGTGCCCACTCTGGAGACGGTGTTCAAGGCTTCAATTGCCCGATTCGACCAATTCTCATGGTCATATCCCTGATACTATATTTTTCTTCGGGGAGAATTGTCGTCCGATACATTGAATGGTCCATGTTTTTTAATCAATTTAATATTGGAGTTGTGCAACCAGTATATCTACAGACTACGACCGTGAGTATTACCAACCACTACAACTCTGTTTATTACGACTTTTCTAATGAGATCGCCGCAGTAGATTATATAGATAGGTCACAGATATAAATAATAAAGTGGATTGCTAACAACTATAATATATACATTAACGAGCAGAGCGGATGATTCCACTTTTTCAACTTATAGGTTTTGGGTTTATTTTATTTCATCAAGTCCGTCTAATGATACATTTATTTTGTCAGTTGATAACACCCTACAGAGCCCACAAACAACACGACATTTTTTGGCGCGGCAGTTATCACTTGTTAGCAAATCTAGTTTATTATCTTTATTTGTGGCAACAGGTTCATTTTTCATATTGTAAACTCAAAATGCATTATCTATATTGATATTTGTGTTTAACGCGTCGTCCCGTGTAGTAAAGGCTCATTGTCATTGTTTCAGGATTTTAGTGCGTCGTATCAACTATCAAGCAGACAATCGGTTTCAACTCAGCCTGAAAAACACGAATGAAACATCCAACTACTCTCGGATATAATCTCTGATTTTGGCGTAGTTTTATTTTTTTTATGTGATCCAATATTTGTATTGTTTGTTCGTGTCATATCAAAAACCATTTTTTTCTGTGACTATAAGATCCATTTCAATCAAGTTTGTCATTTTTACATAAGTCAACAGGTGACTGCAAGTACTACACAACAACTCCAATTAACTCTGGAAAAATAGATCTGAGATCAAACTATTTTAGTGGTAAGTTATTTTATAAAAGTATAAACATTTTTTGTATTAATTTGAAGTATAATATACATTCATATACTTTTGGTACTGTTTTTGATGATTGTTCATATCACTAGATCAAAGAAAGAAGATACATCAGACAATATGGATGATAATAGGTTAGAAATAATTATTTAAAATATGAATGCATTTAATCAAAAACTATTTTTAATATAGATTGAATGAAAAAGACAAAAGTGGTTTTTTTTCCAAATTATGTAGAATTCTTTACATCGGTAACTTAGATGAAAATATTAATGATGCTAAACTATATAAATATTTTGGAGAATTTGGAGATATAATTGTATGTACATTTATAAATACTTTTATAGTACCTATTGTTTTCTACTATTAATATATTTATCTTTGATTACAGAGCATTAATATTAAAAAAGAAGATTATGTAAGTGATGGATCATTAAAAGTATGCGCAATGATTAAATACTTTGATACCAGCAGTGTAGTTCTTGCTCTGCATAAAATGAATGGTGTAGACATAGAAGGTTCTCGTGTACGTTTGGGTTTTGGAAAATCACATCCATCAAGATGTGTTTGGATTACTGGTGTTAAACAATCTTGTGATGATAATTTTCTGCTGATTTATTTAGCTGATTGTGGGCCCATTACAACATTTTCGATTGATCATACTAATAAACGTGCTCTAGTTTATTTTAAAGAGGTAAAATGTAATTTTATTATTTATCTAATAATTTTTATATTTTTGACTTTTAAAAATATGTCAAACACTGTTAAAATGTTGGTAAAATCCGTTTTACTTAAAAAAGAACAGCTTAGGATATTATAATCATAGTTGAAAATTTATTAGACAATATTTTGAGTGTTGTAGGATTTAAATTTAGTCGCTATCATTCAAATTATTATGAAGAACTTTGTGACATGCTTATATTAAATTTTCATATTTTTTGACCACTTGAAAAATTATTTATTTATCTATTAGTAGAACAGAAAAAAAATCAGAAATTTATCATGCCTATGAATAGCTCAAAATGTTAATGGCATTTAGAAAATATTAATAATTAACATTCAGTGAAAATTTTAAGTATTTACTATTTACAATTATTCGTATTCGAGTTGCACCAAAAACAAAATTGATAATGTCGTAAATTGATTCTGCTTAAAAATTTTAATTATCCTTAAATTTTTTTTGGTTTTTCGAGACCTCTTTGAAAACAACTGGGAAATTTCAATTTTGATATCCTGAATGCATCAACTAGATTTACTTTCCTACAAGAAAAGTTACTGAAGTTGAATATCAAAGTATTTTTTCAAAAAACTTGTTCAAGACTAAATCACATAAATTTTTTTTACCATAACAATATTTTAACAACTTATTTATTTTTACTCTGAAATCTGTACACTATCTGTATACTTCTAGAAATTTCTAAAATAAATTTTTTTTAAATGTTTTAGATTGAAAATGCAGAAGCTGCCATAAATAAAATGAAAGATGGTTTTATAAATGGTTTATACTTTCATGGTGATTATGCATCTAGTGAGTGTCAGATAAAATTTGCTGAATTCTTCAATAAGCAAAATCATAAAAATTGTTCATCAATACGCCTGGATAATGTTAATGGTCAAAGTCCATCAATACGCCTGGATAATGTTAATGGTCAAAGTCCATCAATACGGCTGGATAATGTTAATGGTCAAAGTTCATCAATACACCTAGATAATGTTAATGGTCAAGGTCCATCATTATCTAATTTTAATGAACAAAAGTAAGAGAAATTCAATCTTCAAAGCTTATTATAGATTTTTACCTTTTTCCTAAAAATGTTTTTTTGTAATATAATTGTTCTTTGAGCGTTTTTCATACCATTTTTAACATATCTGTAATTTTTAATATTTATCAAACAGTAATTTAAACTTTGCTTAAGTCCAACTAAGTTCTTGTTTGAATTATCAAGTTCTATATAATATGTCTAACCATTAATTACGCCACTGAGACTGTAGTAGTAAAGCATTCCCAGTTTTCTTCTGGGTTAGAATATACTTAATATATTATTTTCTACTTTACTTAATAGTTCGTAACTACATAGATATATTATTAAAATGCACAATCGTTATTCAATGTATTACTATTTACTTCTAGTAAAGATGTCAGTGACACACACTCAACAGTATGTGTTTTTCCATATAGTAATGGACTTATGATAGGCTATTAAAATTATAATTATATTCACCTGCCAAATTAAATGTTTATTATATTATCTTTTTAGTCGATAATAAACTATGAATTCCTGTGTTTAAAGTTTTAGAGTTTTATTTTTAAGTATGAATTTTATACTAGTTCTATAAATTATTGTCTATTTTTTAATGAATACATTTCAAAATCGAAAACAGAAATAATTCAAAAAACCGTTTAGTATCATAATAATGTTAATACTTGATATTTGTTTTCTCTTCTGTAATATTTGCTTTTAGTGAATTTTATTACTTTAATTTTGTATTATTGAGTTGAAAAAAAAGTTTACTTTTAATTTAATTTAATGTTTTTCAACCAATGTGTGTTCCGTATTTCTGTGATGTGTATCACCATAAAAAATGTTTGTTTATAATATTATAGCACCTGTTCAAAGCATAAATATAATGTCACATTATTATGGTGTTAAACCTGATTGTAAAAACCACAGATAAAAAAACAATTATAAAGATTATCTCATTATCAATGTACATATAATTTTATAATTGTTATCATTTAAAATACCCATTAATTATTTTAAGTGTCACTATTTTTAATGATCTGTATTAGGGTGTTTTCGTAATAAAAGGTTAAAAAGCACTGTACTAACATGTACAACAAATATTCAAATGTGAATGCTTAAACTTTCCCAATTACTCTCTTTATATTGTTTTATTATTTAATCTATGCTTGTGTGAAAAAAATTGTATTAAAGTAGCAAAAAACTTATGATCTTAATCTTATTAAAATTGTATTATTATATATTTATTTTACTGATAAAATTTCAAGCATGTTAAAACACATGTATTAGTTTTATTGAAATTCATATGTTATATTTTTTATTAATATAGCAATTCTAATTTTCTAATTTGTATATAATATTAGGTCTGCAGGAAGTCATTATGTTGAGGAAGATAACCCATGTATTGCTAACAAGAAATCTACATCACCAATTACCTGTACTTTGATTAAAGGTATAGCAGATTCAGTCACTACTGAATATCTGGAATCTCGCTTTAGTCAATTTGGACCTATTAAAAAATGTTTAATTGACCGACCAAACAAATGTGGTGTGTTGTGTTTCCAAGAGGTAAATGTTAACATTAATTATAAATGTATTTTTATTGATTTACATACTATACATTACTATACTATTATTATATTTTATACCTACAATGACATTTTGACAATATTAAGATTAATTTAATCTATTAATTAATTTTAACTTAATAGTTCAAATTGATTTAAAACCTAAATAAATACAATGTTATACAATGAGTCGGCATTAACTCAAAAATTAATAACAATAATATATGGTATAAATAAATACTATTATAATAATTAAATGTTAATAACAAAATAAATTCAATGTTTTCGAACAAAAATTAATCATCCTACTGTATGGTGTATTAATAAGAGTAAAGTAAATTATTAAGTTAGAAATAAAAATGTATTATAAAATATGCTTAATAATATATGGCAGTCTGTGCTCAGAATTGTATTTCGTAGGCAATGATTTTTTATTGAATTCAAATTTAATATGTCCAACATAGAGACTTATTTAATGATGAGGTACATTCAATACCTACTCATACGACATAATGGTTATCTACTTTTCCCCTTTTTATTTGTTAATTTTAACATAAACAATTTTTTTAGCATTCATTATTGCTTTTATTAAGACATGGTCAAGTTTTTAATGAATCAAAATTTGTATGAACTAAAGTCCTACAGTTTTGACTGGCAATGTCATACTCAAGTTTTATTGTGATAATATTATAATCATTACAGTCAAAAAATATTTTAGTTTCACTATTAAATTGGTAGTTTTTTTTTTATTGATACAACATGGACCGTTAGGCTTACAAATACTTTAAATCACATAGTTTGCTTGTTTTGGTCATTAATAATTTATTTAGAACATCATCAGGGTCCAGTGGCATAGTGGAAGGAGTTTCATGGCGCCCATGAGTCACGGTAGAAATTTCTTTTTGGGGTGGGGTGGTTGGATACAAAAGAGTAACCAATAACATAACCAAATATTAAAATATTTACAATCACATTGGTAGGTACTGAAATATATGAAATGCATCATGGTTTACAAAAGTTAGGTCTATCTGTGGATAAAAATCGCTCATTTAATTGATTTAAAAAATCATGTATACATATAAAAAATAAAGATATTCTATAATAATTTTCAGGTAAACTAACATCTGCATCTGTTTTTTTTGTTTGTAAGTTGGAATAGGTATTTCAATACTTAGGGTATCGCATTTAGATTTTACATTATCAAATATAATTTCAAATTTACTTTTATCATTTAACCTTATATTTTTTAAGTATATTTTTCATGTTGTCAGTGGTTTGAAAAGGTTCAAACAGATCAATATAAATTCAACCCAAAACCCCTCTTTACCAAAATTTATAAATTATAATTTTACACGTGAATGCAATATTCATGAAGCAGCATGTGATGAAAATTATTCAAACTTTGTTATGATATTCGACCATATTGCTATTTAAATTATGATCAGGACAACCAGGATTCTTTCATGATATTTACAGCAAATTCTCTACATAATATTTTTGTTTTTCATTCAAATCTTCAACCATACTTTAAAAAAATATAATTTAGCTTAATTCTTCCCTCTGTTATTATATTTCAATATTTGGATAACTGTGATGAAACAGCCCCTTGGCATTGAACATATGATAATAATACATCACCGTCTGCTTATTTATGATAATTATGATCAAGGATAGGATGTTGATGACCCCAAAAAAAATTTAATATAAAAATAATAGATGTTTAAATAGATATGGGTGTGATAGTGGGTGTCAGATTAATTAAAAAATTAATAGACAATAGTAAACATTCAAGTTGTATGTTTAATTTAGAGTAAAAAAAAATATGAATTTATTAAAAAGAAATTAAAAAGAAAAATAGAAATAAAAATAAAAATATTATATTAATATAAAAACCCACAAACCTAAAATTTGAGAAAAATGCCCCCCATTATACAAAAACTAAAAAAAAAAATAATGTGAAAAATGAGAAACAAAATTAGTATATTCTAAACCACATGAAGCATAGAGTTTTATATAACATCACAATTTATAGGATGAAAGGTTAAAAAATGTTTAAGTCATTAACATCCTATCCCTAGTTATGACTTATGACACATGACTCTAAAAATACATAATTCATACTTCTTAAGAATGATTCATTTTTTATTTTTATTTTTCAGGAATTACATGCACAGTCAGCTGTTACTGTAATGGATGGTAGTTATATAGAAGGTGAATTACTCTATGTTCGTTTAGCGTCTTTTAAATGTCGAGATTGTGAAGTATCTAATACAAATAATGATAATTTAACTATTCAACAACAAGATAACTCTACTTCATCATCACCTTACTGCGCTTGGCATATGGATCCTTCTTGCCGTTGTTCAATTAATGATGGAATTGACCCAATCAACTTCAGTGATCAATTTAATAATTCAATTAATGTTAATAATGCTCAGAACGTAGCATTGCATAAATATTTAAACATCAATAATAACATTCCTGATTATTCTCCAAGTACAAATCATGTATACGACAGTCCAATTAAAATAATATTCAACGAGTATCCACCACAGGGTCTCATATATCCGACAAGACGTGCTAATTTTAATGTAATGTCACTACCTTTGCCCGCGTTTGCTAAGAATATTTCCAAGCAACTGACTAGTACATCTTTGATAAACAGTAAAACAAAGAATATTGAAAAGAATAAAGATTAGAAGTTTGGCAAAAGAAATACAACTATTGAAGAAGAGAAACAAAATTTAAATAGTTTTGATAACCCAAAAGAATTCAAGACAAAATTGTAAATTAAAAAAATTGCTGAAATATATAAAAATATTCTCACTTTCATATACATGTAAATTATAATAATTAAATTTAAATGTGGTTGTAATATTGAGCTGTTAAGATTATAAAGGAATATAATATTAGTTTTTATGTTCTATTTTCAATATTATACTAATTTCAATATAATGCATAGTTAAATATATTTCATACTTAAAATATTATAAATATTAGTCACAAAAATTAAACAAGCAATGCTATTTATTCTTTTGGAGTCTTGTTTGAATTTTTATTAATTTTTAGTCCTAAAGTTATATTTATTTAATTTATTAATTTAAATTCTAAACATAAGCATACATCATTATTGCTGCCATTTTATTTTGTTTGATAACAATATAGGATATAACCTTGTATGTGTAAGCCATAATGCAAATCTCATTAGACAAACAGTGTAATTTTTTTTTAATATTTGTATTACTCCTTTGACCTATACTATTAGTGATTTAAAATAATATATTTATTTATGAGTTATGATACTCAATGAAATATATTTTTATATAGTTACTAATAACATGCTTTGTATTTTTAATACCTTAATTCATTACATTTTTAAAGTTGAGAATGTATATACATACTAACAATTAGATATTTATTGAAATGCTTATTCAGAGTACACAACTTTCTTTATTTTTAATTAGGATACAAGGGATACAATAGGGGCAATTTAAATATTTATATTTAATTAAAGATAAATAAATGTAATAAACTAACTATAATGTTACTCTAATTAGTTTGGTACTTGACACTTGCTGAAGGGGCTGGGAACAGAACATTATTAGACCGTGAGCCTGAGAACCGTAACAGCACTTTGTCACACACCGACCAACCTATGTATTTTATTTGTAATGATGTTATGGCCCAGGTAGTATTGGTTGGGTTCGCCGTGCAAACAGCACTGGATAGGCAAGGTATCGGCCCACCGGGTCTTAGGATTTTAACCGGCCCTAAAAAAGTGAACTGCCCATTTTTCAATAAGACAGACATTAATTCATATTTATATGCATTTTTAGGTTTTGACCTCTAACAAGTTTTTTTATAACCCTGCTATTAAATTCTGAGTAGAGCTGCAAATAATGTATTGTTTTCATTTGTCCGAAGATACTTTAGTCTTGTAAGTACTATCTTCAACTTTAGTTTGTATTTGGTGGGGGTAGATTTCAAGTACTTTTTAAAAATAATTGTTTGTTATCTATTGTTCCCAAAAGTTTAGACCGTTTCTACTCAAAACTGTTATGTGTAGGTCGTAGGTGGTACTAGGATAGGGTTGCCATAAAAGTTCAAGTACTGACCGGGACATTTACAAAAATAATTTAAATAATTTGAACCTTTTTTTTTTTTTAATATTAAAATTTAGAACACAGTGTAATGAATATATATATAGAATAAAATAATAATAGTGTTGAATTATGAAAGACATTAAATTAGAAGATACATTTGATTAACGAAATATTATTTATTTAGAAATATTATATTTTTCTGACTTTTTCACCTGTTTCAATAGCTCTGGTTTTCCCATAGCATACGTATGAAATTCCGAACAAGTCATTTTGAAATTAAATTTGCATTGAATGATACTTTCTACTGTTTCTACTTGAAGACGGATCAATTTAATATAATTACTGGTACTAATATTATTTACACATAACCGGGACTTTTGTAGGGTCTAGTGGGACGACCGGGACCGAAGTCATGAACTGGTGACATGTCCCGGTGTACCGGGACGTATGGCAACCCTATACTAGGATATCAAAAGGTTAAGAACCTCAGCTATCTATATAATTAATAATTACAATTTTAATAATAACATGATATCATACCTACATACAATATATTATAAATTATACATATTATATTAACTGGTGTCTGGTTGGGATAGTTATTGGGCACACTGCACATAAATATATAATATATACATATAAACAAGTTACAGGTACATAAAAAAAACCGTATCAAACTAATAATAAATATTTATTATAGTAACTTATCTAAGTTATCTAACAAATAATTAAATATTAATTAAAAAAATTAAGTGTTTCTGACAACTGACAACTTTTTGTGGACACTTTATCAATGATACTTTCATTGTCTAAAGACATCAAAATATCTTTCTCTACGGACATAATTAAGAATATTTCTAATTTTCATTGAGATAAACAGTTCCTAAGTCGATTTAGTACATATTTTAATTTGGAAAACGTAGTTTCACACCGCACTTGTGTAGTTGTGTACATGATAATGTCAATACAAATGTATACATTAGATATACAAAGCTATATGCAGACGAATGTAAATTATATTTATACAATATTTTATAGCAACAAGCTATGCAATTTTGGCAAGCTTTATTTCCAATGCATTTACCATATGTATCTTGATTAAAATTTCCAACTTCGGCCTCATCATCAATATTATAGTTGTTTTCTTCGATTGACACATCAATAAGTTTAAGTTTGGCCATTTTCGAATAAAATCTTGCATCTCAGAATGTAATTTACCTGCAGTGATTTCTGAATTGAATTTTGCTAGTTTTGAACTCATCCAGTTGAAGTTATTCTCTGCCAAGTTCTCCTTAAAATAACGTGGATCCAAAAGTGAAATTTCTTTATACAAATCAGTAATCACCATGACTTTTAAAACGATTATTTAAGCTTGATACTACCTGATCATACACCACATTAAATACTTGAGTTTTAAAAGGAAAAATGGAATTTTCTGGTGTTTCATCATGTGTGTTTTCATCAGGCATTAATTTTTTTTTGTATTCCTTTTTTCTGGAAGTCAATTTTCCACCGTATAGTCTAAATTATTTTTAATAAATTCATCATTTGCCCAGTCAATAAACAAATTTGTATTATCTACTACATCATCAAAATTTCTGGATTCTTCACTTAGAACACTAATCGATTGTATTACCATTGTATATGCTTGAATCATATTCATTTCTTTGCTTTGTAAATAAAGTGATACAGATGAAGTAGTTATAAATATTTGTAAAAAATATGAGCAGTTAGAATTGTTTCATATTTTAAAAGTGCATGACTAAATGCTTTAGCTTTAAATCTTGCATCTTGATTGAACTTAGCTGATGTACCTATATATTTCATGAAGTGTGTGCACTTTATTGACAAAGAAACTTTCTTGTGGGTGTGAATATGATCCAAAAACTTTATTGAGACAGCGATCTTTTGCCCACCACCGTGTATCACCAACGAGGGAGATACATTTAGCTTTACTATTATTTGTCCATACGTTCATTCTTAAATATGATTCCCTAAAAAAAAAGCTATCGTATTAATTAAACCAAATAATGTTGTACTTTGACAACACACTTGTGTAGTGTCAATCATGACTAAATTTAGAACGTGCGCATAACACCATACATGCGTTTGATTTGGACTTTGTTTATTCAACCAAGCTGAAAATCCATTATATTGGCCTCTCATATTACTGGCACCATCCGTCGAACTTCCGATGCAGTTCTTGACATCCAAATTGAATGCACTAAATACATAACATACAATGTCACACAAATTTTTGCCTGTACCGCTTTTACAATCAACCAATGCAACCAATCGTTCATTAACTTTCTCGTTAACAAACCGTATAATAACTGCCACTTGATCATGTACATTTACATCTTGTGTCGCAAAAAAATTTGCTTCCCTTATGCTTTCTAAAATTGACTTTTTCATTAGGATCTCTATTGCTTCAATTATTTAATCAGCAGTGGTTTTTGATAAATAAGTCACAAGACCTCCCGGACGTCCTGAGTGTACATTGTCAATTTTTAAACATTTAAAAATAATATATGTTTATATTTATATAATATATTATAATATATTTAATTTTGTGTAATTATGCTCCAATTTATCATTAAATATTTAATTTATTTTACTTTACCGGTGAATTATTAAGTATTGATGAGTCAGTTAGTATACATTCCATTTCCACTACAGGCTCTACAATTGGTATTTGCAAATTTTCTGGTGTGGATTCCTAAATAAATGAATAATAAGTAACTTAATAAATTCATACAAGAAAAATGGAATTACAGACTATGGACAAAGAGTTTTTGGGTGGACTTTCATACTCTAACTCAATTATCTCTTGAAAATTCTCATTGCACATTGAAGACAAAGACACTTCAATATCCAGATCATTATTAAGCGTTGATGACTCAGTTAGTTTATATTCTATTTCCTCTACAATTGGAATTTGAAAATTTTCTGACGTAGATTCTTAAATAAAAGAATTATAAGTAACTTCATATATTTATACAAAAAAATGGAATTAAGTAATTTTATACAGACCACGAACAGAGGGTTTTCGGATGGACTTTCCGACTCCAATTCAACCATCTCCTGAGAATTATCATTGCAAGTTGAAGGCAAAGACACTTCATTATCCAGATCATTATCTGTACATTTTATATTTTTATTAGTTGACAGTGCAAAACACTGTGTGAATTAGTCAGGTATAGTTAATTTCAAAATTACAAGTTTAAAATATTATATCTACATAACTAGGTACCTACTGTTGACTATTGTGTAGCATATTATAATTTCAATAATAATTTACTAAATAAACTTACCTTTTTTGGGCGCTATAGCAAAAGATAATTTAGATTGTTTGTTGTATTTGTTTGTAACTGTGATGTAATGGGATTTAAACAATATAAAAATGTGTGCGTGCGCGTGGTTGTGTTTTGTTTTAGTAACGAGCACAACGTTTCACATACTTTTTATTTTTTAGGTTAATCTAATAACAGTATTGCACCATATACAACATCCTCCCCTTAAAGCTTAATTACACATTAATTACTTACAATTAATATAAATTCAAATTACAAATTCTTAACAAGAGTACAAAATAATTAATATAAATTCAAACTACAAATTCTTAACAAGAATACAAAATAATTAATATAAATTCAAATTACAAATTTAATTTATTTGGTGGTTTTACCACCCTTCCCACCCTTGTTGTAATTTCATTTTTAGACTCCTTATTTTTTAACTCTTCCGTACTAATACTTAGACTTTCACTGATT